GGGCCATTATGGGTCCTGGAGTGGGGAAGTGACCCAGGCAGGGCTTGAGAGCCAGGACCCTGCCATCTGTGGGGTGGCTCCTTGGTGAGGGGGCTGCCAAAAGGAGAGAGGGTAGGGCTGGTACAGGTAGGGTGGACCAGGTGAGGCTGGTGCAGGTGCTGAGTCTGGCAAGGGGAGTACTTGGGCAAGGGTGGCTGGAGGGGCCTGGAGGAAGAGCCACGGGAATCGTGGACTCCCGGTTCCCCGGCTGAAGGAAGGTGAAAAACATGTGGTGGGGAGTGTGACAGGAGGGGCCGAGACTTGTATGAGCCTGGGTGAGGGTGTCTGCAGCTGCCCAGCCTCAATCAGTGACTGGGTGCTGGGTCCCTCGGGGTGAATTGTCCTGAGGACAGGAGTGGGCTTGCCTAGGCCCCTCCTGGGGGTTGAGGTGCAGGTGAAGCCTGGCATAGCATTCCATGTAATCACATCCAGCCTGCTGTTTTGCTCTGATGGCCTCCCCTTGCCTGGGATTAACTTCAGCCAAACACTCAGGGACTCAGGCTATTGGCTTCCCCTCTACTCTGGCCCAGCCCCGCCTGCTTGGTGCCTTCCCAGCAGCCACTGGCCCTCCTAGCTCCCCCTTCCTGGCATGAAGGGAAGTAACACAGGGGAGGGGAGAACACAGACTTGGAGCTACAGAACTCAGTTCATATTGAGCTGGCCACCACCTTCCCCAGGAAACTCAGTTTCCTTATTTGCCAAAAGTGGTTTAAAATGCTAGTGCTGCTGCAGTTGTTTTTGTTATTATTGTTAATGCCACCACCCCACCCCTGGCTAACGGGTCTGTTCAGTGAGATCTGTCTATACCTACTGGGCCTTCCCCGCCTGCCATGCCCCCTCTGAGTGCCTGTAAATGGGGGTTCCTTGTCCTTCCCTTTTACTTTCAGCCCCCTCCCTTCTTCAGCTTAGAGTTCTATTTTTGGAACAAGTGAGCCTGGAATAACTTTTCCTCATTCCTAGGGCAGAGGACATCCCAGCCCCCACCGGCCCTACCCACCAGCTCCCTTCCCTTCCTGATAGGAGGTCCTGCCCATGACCTCACAGTTTGCCAAGGCAGTAGCTGTGACATCACAGGGTCTTTTTGGACTGAAAAAAAAAAAAAAAAAAGGCCCAGATTCCAGGCCTCCCAGGGGGCAAGAGTGGGGAGAGCTGGAGGGGTAGAAGGGGGGAGGGTGTGAGGAATTTCTGGACGGAATGTTCCTCTGGAGGCTGAGTCCACATTCTGCGCCAGCCCCCTCCCCCCACCCCCAGCCTGGACTTGGGCACCTCCCCCCACACTATGGCCTGCTGCCTTTTCCTTCCTCCAAAACAGCAGCCCACAGACATTTTTCCCAGCCCACCCTCCCTGCAGGCTACCAATGCACCCTACTGCACGAACCTCCAGGTGCCCCCCTCAGCCTCCTGGGGTGCACAGTTTGGGGGGGATAAATGCATGCATAGAGAAGTCATGTGTGTCTGTGTTTTGGGGAAAAAATCGAGGAAAGGGTGTGCAGCTTCCCTTACCCACCCTGTGGCTCGCAACCCTCACTTTCAGAAAGTTCTTTCTGGTGTGTGAGCTCAGTCCCTCCCAAGGCAGCCCGTTTCCTCTTCTTCCTGTGGAAGTGTGTGGAAGGAGCCTCCTTTTGCTGGGACCTGGGACCTTGAGTCTTTGAGTCTCAGAAAGCTTTTCCCAACCGGAGGGCAGTTGGTTAAGAGTAAGAGGCAGGGGATGAGGCCAACTCCAGGGAGAGGAGAGAAGAGGGAACGTGAGGGGAATATATGGAGCAAGGGTCAGATACCAGCGCTCACACCTGCTGGCTGTGGGCAAAGTACTGGCTTTCTCAGACCCGCAGTTTCCTCAACTGTAAAATGGGGTCCTACTTACCCCACAGGGTGCTTTTGAGGGTTGGTGAACACAAAAGTGCCCGATCCCGTCACCAGGGAATCGCTCATGGGTCATCAGTGCTGTTGCACCCACATTGTGCAAGGTGAGAGGAGGGATGGCCAGGGTGGCAGTTAAGGGTGCCCTGTGGGCACAGGCTTTGTCCTTGGGATTGCTGGGGCGCACTTTCTGCAACCTGAGAGTGAGCGCCTCACTGCACTTTCTGCCCTACGTGCCTCACCCCAGTGCCTGCTCTGCCGGGATTTGAGTCTAAGAGCAGAGTATTCACCAATGGCCTCAGCTGTCCAGCTGCACTGGACCCACCCAGTAATGCCCTCCATTCCCGGTTGCACTTGGAGTTGTCCTGCTTGCCTGTAAGGCAAGGTCTAGATACCTCTTGGCTGGGCTGTGAGTTGGTTGCCCTCAGTTTGGAAAGCCTGGGGTCCTTAAATTTCAAATTTTGTCCTGAGATTGCTTAGCAGGGGAGCCAGAGTGGAGGGAGCTATTCCTGTCTGGAGTCTCTGCTCTGCGCTTCTACAGCTGAGCCTGAGGGGAAAGGAAGTGAGTAACCACTGGGGGGCACCCAGTGACCCTTACCTGTGAGCTGGCTGGGGTGGGGGTGGTGGGGGTGATGTGAGCCGGTGACAGACTTGGCTACTTGCCAACCCCAGTCCTGCCCCGACCCTCACCATGAGAGGCTGGGTGAGTGCTACCTCCCTGCACCTCAGTTTTCTCATCTGTGAAGTGGGGAGGGACATGATGTCTAAAGTCAGAGCTGATGTTGTGAGGAGGGTGTCTGTTGTGTGGTGGGTATAGAAAAGTCCTGGCCAAAACCTAAGTGGAGGTCAGGGGCCTTGATTCCAGAGTCCCAGGGGTGCCAGCTGCATTGCCCACGCTGAACATAGGCAGGGTCCAGGGAAGATAGCGAGGGACCCGCTCTTGATTTATTCATTCAGTAGGCATTTGCTGAGGGCCTCCAGCATGCCAGCCACAGTTCTAGGCTCTGGGGGTTATGGGAACTTACATTTCAGTGAGAAAGACAGACGCTAACTGTGATAAATAAAATATACAGTGTGTTAGAGAGCGATGAGTTCTAAGAAGACAAATAACCCAATGAAGGGGGTAAAGAGGCTGTGTGTCTTCATGCCGATGGTGGGCTGATAGCTGAGCCTGTGATCCCTGCTGGCCTTTGGGATTCTGGGGCTGCTGTTTTAGAAGCTCATTCCCTATTGCCCCACCCTCTCTGCAGGGCCTGGGCCAGGGGCAGCCCCAGGGAGACCCTGCCTTCAGTTGCCAGTCCCTTGCCTTGGGTGTCCCCCGCAGCCCCGGTGCTGGCAGCTCTGGGGAAACAGAAACCCTCCTTCCCGGGAGGACTGTGGTGGAGGAAGGGTGGGGGCAAGGCATGCATGCTGGGCCCTGTTTGCAAACACTGCAGGAAAATGCTGGGTGTTTCGGGTGGGAGGGGCTTTTGGAAATTTTTAGCTTCTCAGAAAGCATTTTGAGCAGTAAGTTGAAGGCATCTGACGGCTGGCAGGCTTAGGCTGTGGCCTGCTTCCAGCTGGCAAGGGGGAAGGGCGGGGGCAGAGGGGATGGTGTGCAGATGATTGCTGGCAGGGGGAGAGTTTCTCTTGCACTGCTGAGGCCTGTGGTTTCTAATATTGACTCAACTCCTCAGTCTGCATCTTGCCAGACCCGGGAGGGATGGGGTAGGGTGGGCCGTGCGAGGCCTGGGAGAGTGCGGGGTGGAGAGGATAAATACTAACAACAGCTAACATTTATGGAGAGCTTTCTGAGTGCCAGGCCCCGGCCTAAGTGCCTTCTGTGCTTTATCTCATTTGATTCTCACCAAAGAGCACCAGGCTGCCCTATGGAAGCAGCTGCAAGGACGAAGTGGCCACCTCAGGTCACAGAGCAGCAGAGTGGGGTGGCGGCTGTGGCTTGCTGCCAGTGCTTGGACCACTGCTTGGACCACTGCTTCGCCAAGGTGTCCCTCGAACCAGGAAACCTGTTAGAAATGCACATTCCTGCTTGCCCCTCAGGTCTGCTGGATCAGAGCCCTGGGGGAGGGCTGGCCACCTGTGTGTCCTCAGGTGACTGGCACACTCAATCCCAAGCCCTTGCAGGCAGGCTTTCTGAGGAGGCTTTACTGGGGTGGGGGGTGGGAGTGTCTCTTCAAGATGGGAATAAGGTGGGGGCAGCACTTGGTCTCCTCTTCTTCCCATTTCTGTCCTCTCTGACCTTTCTAGGGAGACTGATTAAGCAGACTGTGTTGAGAGATCGGGGTTCAGATCTTGGTTCTGCTGTGTAGACTCTGAAGTAGAAGGCCCCTGTGACCTGCCCTCCAGCAGTTCTACTCCTCCCCCAGGAGACTGGGTTAGCCCAGAGAGGAGGCAGCTGGGTCTTCTGCCCATCCTGACATCTCCATGGACCCCATCCCCTCCACGGAGGAGGGGTGCTTGTAGGAAAAGTGGGGAGGCCATTCTTCCAGTAAAGGCCTGGGCATGGGAGTCAGCAAGGAGTCTAGAGGGGGCAGGCCGGGATGGAGCAGGGCATCTGGGGCATGGACCTTGAAATGTTCCAGGTGGCAGGGCCAGGGCCTGACAGCCTGCTGAGAACTGGGCCCTGGCAGGCCCCTCATCTCTGCTGTGTTTCACACCAAGAATATAGTGCACAGAAGCGTAAGATGGGCTTCCAGTCCTGTGGTCCCATTCATGGACGACCGCTCATTTAACTTCTCTGTCAAGTGGCCTCAAGGGTGGCAGTGGTGCCTACCTTCCTGAGTTCTGGCTGGGAGTAAATGAGACTTGCAGGTGACAATGCTGGGCCCTGGGAACAAGAGAAGCTGTTCTTGTCCCTTGTTCCCTTTTGAAGGGCGGTGGCTGTCTGAGTCAGAGGACTTGGTGAGCTTTGTCCAGCTGAGTGGTTCCAGGACCACTGGCCCAGCATCTGCAAGGGCCTGGCAGTCCAGTCTGAGCCTGGGGTTGGTGTCCTTGTCCTGCCCTCAGGAGACATCTGCCGAGCAGGCCACCAGCCCTAGGGAGACAGCCAAGGGGGGATGTTGGCCCTGAGGCCTCACACTGTTTTCTCCCTTTGTCCACAGCCCATCAACACCGAGAGTACAACAAAGAATGTAGTGGACACGGTGAGTGGCAGCAGGCAGGTTGGGTGGGCAGTCTGGGCAAGAGTAGGGAGGCCCAAAACCCACGGCGGATTGTGGGGGACAATGAGCAGATAGATGTGTTTGGGAGCCTCCTTTGGGAGTAGATTTGGGGGAGCTGGGCAGGAGACATGGAATATGCGTGATATTGGGAGGCAGGAATCTGACCATCCTTCTGAGTTTGGAAATGGACTGCTAGGGAACTAAGCTGGCAGGGAGGGAGAGGCAGAGTGGGTGCCGAGAGGGAGAAGCTGGTGGTTAAATGTGGGCTTCTTTATTAAATATGTAGAATGTGAGATAGCCAGGCAGATCCTTCTCAACTGATCATTCTGCCTTAGCAGAGAGACAGATGGTTTCCTCAAGGCTGTATGGAGGAGGGAGGGAACAAAGTGGGGGAGCCCAGTGTGGGGTAACCGAGGTTAGCAGAAGAGAAGTGTCTCCTGGCAGTGGCTGCATGAATAATAGCTTGGGAGCATGAGGACTTGGGGTCAAGTCTGAACTCCTCCAAGCTTCTCATTATGTACAGGTAAGACATAAGTCTGTGCCTCGATTTTCTTATCTGTAAAATGGGATTAGTAGTGTCTCCCATGCGAAGAGTATGAGACGAGAGTTCGGCTAGCTCCCAGAGGCCTTTAGTGGATAAAGAAATGCTCATCAACCAAGTCCCCACCCAGACCCTTCTGCCAATCCTTTGTTCCCCCCACCCCTCCCACCACGCACACACACAAACCCAGCAGGTCAAAGACCTGGCGCCTTCTGATTCGTTTCTGTGACTCCCTTCTCTGACTGCCTTTTCTCTGTCTCCAGGGGGAAGGAACCTTCCGGGGTGGAAACACGCGGAAAAGCCTTGAGGAAGACGTACGTATGGGGACAGAAGGGAGAAGGTGCCGCTGAGCCCCTGGTGCCCAGCGGAGCAGGGAGGAGGGTGGCCCCAGACGTGTCTGGGGAGAAGGCACTGGGATGGTGAGCAGGCCCCTCTTGCTTAGTCCTTGGGCCTCAGTCTTGGTTTTGGCCTGCAGTGAAGCTGGATCCAGAGCTCACTTGCCCATCACTTTGCCAGACCTCAGTGCTCAGGGTGGGGAGGAGGGAGGGACATGCTCGTGAGGCCTGGCTTGTGGTGAGCCTTGGCGGACGGGTAGCCTGCAGCCTGAGGGACTAAGGGCAGAGTTGAAGAGGGACTCCTGGGCTCTAAGCTCATCAGTGCTGGGAGGGATTACAGGCTTTGCTTCTGTGGAGAGAGACTTTGGAAGTGGCAGAATCCTCTATGTGGCTTAAATGCCAGTGGTTTTGGTGGGGTGGGGGGAGGCAGGAAGGTAGGCCCCTTGGGATCCTCCTGCCTTTGACATTTTGGTGGGGGACAATGGGCAAGATCCTTAAATGGAAGAACCCCAGAGCAGGGCAGAGGGGACTCTCCCGGAACCCTGTTCTGAGCAGTGCTTGTGCCGACACTGCAGACAGACGCCCCACAAAGTTGGGCCTTTTCCTTTCTTCCCTGCCTTCTCTGATAACTTGCCCCTCTGCTGGCCTCCCCATCCTTACCCACCCTGATCTGCAGAGGAATAGGGAGTGGTTTTGGCGGTTGGCACAGGGGGGGAGCTGTTGATGGCATGGGGCCCTATCATCTGACAGCTGCCTGACCCACAGTGGGGGGCAGGGTGGGCCTGGAGAGAGGTGCGGCGGGAGCAGGAGGCGGCTCCCACAGGCAGCCACACTTCTGTGGGTGCCCACGGCCACGACTCTGTTGCACTGGTGCAGCCCCACACGGCCAGCCTGCCCGGCAAAGGGGTGCTGGCCACTCGGGCCTCATCAGAGCAGGAACATGCCTCTCAAGTTAGTGGGGAAGACTCTGGTGAAGGTAGGCATGGGTCTGAGGGGCAGGGAGTACGTGTGTTGGGGAGGGCTCCTTGTCTGAGTTTGCGGTGTTTCTGGGACTGGGGTGCAGGGAGAAATGAATTTTTTGGGTGTACCCGCTATTGAGGATTCACTGGCTTAATGCACACACACTGGCTAACTCATGATTGTTAGCCATTGTTATTACTGTGTGTTTTACATTGTAACTTTTAGTTTACATTTATTTTTATTACTGTTAGTTTGATGAAGGGCAGGGAGCTGGCATGTGCTATGGTTCCACTTTACAGATGAGGAAGTCGAGGCTTGGAGTGACTCAGTGACTCCCTAAGCACCTTCTCCATCGCTTCTTCGACTGCTGCTTGAATCTGGTATCACGCAGGACTCCCAACCCTTGGCCCAGGGACAGGGTGTTGGTGTGGGAACCAAGCCTTTTACCCAGTGATGTGGGCACACTCATAAGCCAAGTCCTAGGGCTGCTGTTTTCTCCAACCCCACCAGAGCCCGAGAGAATCCTGCAAGGTGAAACTGCAGCAAGAGAGAGTGAAGTTAGACACCAGGAAGAACTTATTGACCCATCGGTGTGTAGAGCCTTGGGTCTGGGGAAGGAAGGCGTGCCTGTCTCCTTGGAGGAAGTTTACTTGGTCTGGATGTCAGGAGTGGTGAGGGTGGTGTCGTGCTGCCCAGGGGAAAAGGGAGGAGATGAATTAGGGTCAAGTTAGTCTAGTTGAAGGAATGCATGAAAAACTAAACAAGTGAGCAAATTCTGGAATGATGGCAAAGGAGAGAAGACCTAATCTTGAAGGTTCCCAGACCCTGTCCCAGGCTGAGTGACCCCAAGGTGATGGGTTGGTCTCCTGCCCAGTCTTCGGGCTCCCTTACAGTCTGCACCCGTTTTCGAGGAGACATGCTTGCAACTCCGGGCCTGCTGCTGTGATAATAGACCTGTTTGTTGAGCTGTTTTCCTGTCTCTGGCCTATGGCCGAGGACTCACAGGGCAGGAATGGCTGTTTTCCTCCGACGGGGCCAGTGTGTAGTGGAGCTGGTGGATGGTGTGCTGTGTCGCACTTTGTTTTGGAAAAATCCAGCCTGGTGGGCAGGAAGGGGAGAGGAAGGGGTGTGGCTCGAGAGGGCTGGTGTGGGGGCACTGGAGGTGGCCAAAGCCCCCAGAGAAGACAGAGGAATGGGGCTGGGCCCCTGACGTAGATTGGTCTCCGATCTCTGGCTGCCTGACATGGCCCATGGGGTTGACTTACAGTCCCTCCCCTCAACTGCATCCCCTGGGGATTTGGGCTCAGGAAATGGCTTTTCTTTTTGGTCCAGAGCTGTTGTGTTTGGTTTGTGGACCTCAAAGGAAGGCAGGATTCTTCCCACATAGTCTTTGCTCCAAACCAACCCCACCCAAGTCCTGGGGTTCGAGTTCTTCACTACATGGCCTGTAGAAGGCAGCAAATAAAGGCCGCAGGGCCACAGGCCTTGAGCCGAGAAGGCAGCCCCGGCTTTCAGTGAGGACAGGGCAAAAAGAGTTGGCTGGTTCTGCAGCAGGAGGGTGAGGGTTAGAGACCAGGCGGAACTTCCCGACAGTAAGAGAAGTGAGACTCTGTTTTGGAAGGCTGTGGAATTTCCTTTCATATGTCCTTCCAGCAAAGGAGAGACTGCGCTTTGTGATGATGATAGGGAGGAGTTCTTGATGCCTAGGGAGTTGAATCAAAAATTATATGATTGATCTGTGTCTTGGGCGGGGCAGGGAGGAAGTTCAAAGTCATGTGACTAGAAGACTTTGAGAAACCCCAGAGAGGACAAGAATGGTATCACAGACCAACAGAGCTTATTTTTCTTTTTAAAATACAGTCTTTGTAGTGCTCTTTATAAAACTCTCTGGTAGTTCTCTCTGGGGGCTCCATGTGGTACAGGTAAATCGGGGTCCCATTTTATGCAGGGGGTGGGTGGGACTTAGGGGCCACCTCTCACATAGGATGACAGCTCTCTGAGGTCAGGACCGTCACCTGCTCTGGTCCCTGGTGCTGGGACAATGCCTGGCACCTTGGTGCAGGTGCACTGAATGAGCACACTGGGTAGCACAGGTGACCCCATCTCTCAGCCTGCTCTCCGCCCTCTTGGAAGAGGCGTCTGTGCTGGGACCTGCTGCAGGAGACACTGTCTCCAGCCTCGGTGGGAGGTCCCTCGTGCTTTCTGAAGCGCTAGGTGTTGTTTGCTCACACGCCACTCTGCCATCTCCCTGTGGCTCTGTGTCCCCGCATCCGACATGTGGCCCGTGCACATCTGCTCTCAGCCAGTGGGTGTCACATGCCCCCAAGCTTTGGAGAAAACAGGAAGCCCTGTCAGTTAGAGAGCACCCCAGTGATTCATCGGGGGATGACCGTTCAGCTGTCCGTCCACGTCCTCTGTGTGGGGTCACTGTCCAGCACGACTTCCTCCCCTGCCTCCCTGTCGCTGGCCGGCGCAGTGGACTGGAGCGGGCTTGGACTTTGTCATATCACCTCTGGAGGTGGCCTGGCCAGACTGTTGGGGCCAAGTTTTTATTTATCTTCCCTGGCTCTTTTGGGGTGGGGAGGCCGAGGAATGTGGAGTGTTGTAATGATGGGTGGGGGGTGGGAGAACTGGGAGCCAGCTCATCCTTCTCCTTGCTGTGTCCGAGGAGGCTCCCGACTCCCCTTGGCACCCAGTGCCCTTACCCAGCCCATCTCAATATCCCATTGTCTCCTTGCGGCTCCTTGGGCCAGGACCCAGGGTCCTGGCCACACCTAAAGCCTTGGCTGCAGTTGTGGCTTCCAGTTGTTCGAAGCAGCTATGGAAGCTTCCTCCAGAAGTGGCTGTAGATGAGCAACAGATGAAACCCAAGGGGCTATTTATAGCAGGGTGGCCCTGGGGCCTGGAGCAGGGCCTCTGGCCTGGGGAGGTTCAGTGACTCCTCATCAGGGACCAGCGTAATGGAGATGGATGAAGTGCTGGGTTTCTGCGTTCCTCTGGGTGGGGAGTTTTGGAACGGCTGGCTTTGGGGCTTGAAAACCTCTCCTTGTCCCCACCCCTACCCCCACCCCGCCCCATGCCTGACTCATGCAAACCCAAGACCTCAGGGCCAGGAGAGCTGTGGAGACAGAGGAACTTTCCTCCGACAGCCAACCCAGCTTGGCTGTTTCCCCCTGCCGCTGAGGCTGAGCTCGGAGCTGGGTGGCAGCCCAGACCGAGGGGACTCTGGGCACAGCCTTCTCAGGGGCGCCTGGATGGAGAGTCCTTCTCCCCCTCCGTCTCGTAGGTGCTTCAGGGCCTGGAGAGGGCTGAAGGGGACTCCTCTTCTTGAGGCCCCAGTGGTCAAGCCTGAAGTTTGAGGGTGAGTCTTGCTGGTCATCAGATCTTGGGGGTGAGTCCCTGTGTGACTCAGTTTCTCCTCTCCTTGGTAGATTGTGGTTCTGTCCCTCTAAAAGGAGGTTGCAGCTGGGTGATTGGGAGAGGCCAGTTTCTGGGAGGCACAGGGATACTTGGAAGGTGCCCTGGACCTGGGACTCGACTCGGTCAGGGAATGGAAGTTGGCATCTGACTCTGCATCGTGAGGTGCTGAAGTGATGGGTGGCAGCTGGTGGACGAAGTGGTGCAGGCTTTTGATTTTCTATAAAGGGAATGTTTGGCTGTTCCTCTAACTAGTCTTTTTTTTTTTTTTTAAAGATTTTTTATTTAGGGCCTCCCCTGGTGGCGCAGCGGTTGAGCGCTGGGCTGCGAGGCTGCCCACAGCCTCTGCAGCGTTCGTTCGTTCCCTGTCCACCGGCGAGGGTCCCACCAAAAAAAAAAAAAAAAAGATTTTTTATTTACTTATACAAGAACTGGGGTACAGGCCAGAGGCGTGGGAGGGTGGGAAGATTCACCAGAGACAGAGTGGGCAGCAGAACAGGCAGATGGACCAAAGACACTGCTGAGGGGAGCAGCGGGCAAGGCAGGAGAGGTTTCTCCCTGGCTGGCCGGAACTCGAACCCATGCTGCAGAGGCTGCGGACAGCTCCACAGCGAGGTGCTCTCAACCTGCTGCACCACCGGGGAGGCCCTAACTAGTCTTTTAATTGTCCTTGATACAATAATAGCAAGAACCTGTAAGGACCTTATGTGCATAATTTCTTTCAATCTTCCAACAGCCCCGTGAGAAATCACCCCTTGTACATGTGACATGGCAGTAGCATCTCAGCGTGTTGAGTGACACGGAACTGCTGGAGGGAGGCTGTGGGGCTCTGACCCTGTGCCATCTTGCCACCCTGCCATCTTTCGACACCACCTTGGGTCCCAAGGCCTAGTTTTGTCCCAGTTGGCAGCCCTAGATGGGAGAGGGGAGGGCGGGTAAGAGAGTGGTTGGGCCAGAGGTGGCTCCTGGGGGGCCTGATTTGCTGCCTGCCACTGGTCTTGGTTGCTCCCCGGCGTGCCTGTTGCCCTCATCTCAGAATTTCTGATCAAATGACTGGGCGTTGCTGCTGTCAAGGAGAGGAGTGTGGGGTCTTGGTGGTTTAGGAGAAAGGCTGAGAGCGGGACAGAAGGGTGCCGTCATCCTTGTCCGTCCTTCTTTCTTTCATGCTTGCAGCCAGTATTCTCCACTGGTGGTTACGATTGCATTGCGCCTGTGAATCAAGATGAAATGGTTTTCATCAATTTGGTAACTGTTATTGAGTACATACCCGAGCAGGTGGCCCCAGTCCAGAGGTGGTGCATTTGTGAGCATCTGGGGTTTCTTCTTTGCCCGAGGAAGGAAGGAGTGTCCCTCTGGGGTTGGCACGAGGTACACTCACGTGGAATTGGCATTGACTGCTTTAGGCTTTGGGTGACTGTGTTGCTGGGGTATTAGGGTATCTGTGCTGGAATGTTGGCAGAGAAAGGAAAAAAGAATCTATGTTTGCCCACAGCCTGACCACTCCCATGCCAGCTCTCCGCCTGTCTCCTCCATAACACTGCTTCTCTTCTCTTCCCCAGGGCTCCACCAGTGTCACCCCAAGTGTCCAGCTCCAGCCCATCAGGTATGCCTGGCTCATGGGGGGCAGGAGGTGGGGGGCTGGCTCTGAAAGTTATAGTCACTTAGGGAGCACGGGTGGACCCGAAAGCTGCAGTGAGAGGTGTAGGTAGCTGCCACTTGCACATAGTCGTGTTTTGAGTTCTAGCTTGAAGCCAGGTCTGGAGTCTTAATTTCCTTACATGATCTCAGCTAGTCCTTGCCAGGACCCTGCAAGGTAAGTATTTTATTCCAACTTGGCAGATGAGGGCACTGAGTCTCAGAGAGGTGGGGTGAAGGGGTAAAGGTCACGCAGCTACCAGGAGGCAGCGCCGGTGTGGCCTTCAGGTGTGGCTAGCGTCAAAGCCTGTGCTGGATCCTGTCCTTTCCATGGATAGGGAGAGGGGTTGGAGGGTCGCTCATCAAAGGAAAGTTCTCGCTCTGGCTGGGAGTGGTGACTTAGGGCAGGGGGTTCACGGGGGCTCCCTGTCTTGCTGATCCGGAGTCTTTCTTTCCTGCATCTGCGTTTTCAGTTCTCTGGCTTGGGCCTTTCCCCCCCTGCTTCGCTTTCTCCCCCCCAAGCTTCCTCAGATGAGTGAGAATCTGGCCTTGGGGAGAGGAGCCCCAGTCAGAGAGGGCCAGGTGTAGCTGAAGCACCTGGCTAGTTGTGGCCCAGCTGTCAGCTGCCCACAGACTTCAGTGACCCTTTAAAGGAACCCCCAGCTTCCTCCCCAGCTGAGAACCCTCTGAGGTGGGTGGGCACAGAGTGCGATGCCAAGATTGTCCAGGTGGTGGCGCTGTTCTGCCTCCGCCCTGGGAACCAGGCTGTGGTCTGGAGCAGCAGAGCGCCAAGGGCTCCCGACTCAAGCCTGTCACCGCCATGTCCCCCTCGCTCCCCTTCCCGAACTCAGGGAGAGCCTGGAAAGAGGAGCTGGATTTGCAGGTTTTTCTGACATTTCAGTCTCTTCCCTGGAATCAGGAGGAAGAGGGGTTTTGGAGGTTGGGGAGGTGGGGATGGTCCCAGTTCAGCTGGGGGCTCCCTGCCCTCCTATCCATTTTCTTGGGGTGTAAGTATGTGTTGTCCAAGCCTGGTCACCACCTACAGAACTGTCCTGGGGTTTTCAGCACCCTGAGGGTGAAATTCCACCCACCCCAGAGACTGCAGTGAGAAGCTTATCCAGGACCTGGAATGGTTGAGGCTGGGGGGTCAGGTTCACACTGGGCTCCTTGCCCCCTCTTCCCTGTGCCACTCAGTCCTTGTCTTTGCCACCACGGAGATGCTGTGCTTCACCCTTGGTTTCCCCATCTCCAGGCCCCATTTGAAATTAGGCTCAGAGTTAGCGCTGGTGGAGATCTGGCTTCTGCCCTGCTTCTTGACACGTGGGGGCTGGACTGTGGCCCCTGTTGCTGAAGTTCCCTGTGGTGTGAGACACCTGGACAGTGGCCATGGGGTACGAAGGCGTGGGTTGGGGAGAGCTCTCAGGCTCTCAGGTGTGCTTTGCACATCTCCTTTCTGTCAGCTCCTCAGTGAGCTTTGCAGACTCTCTTCTTGCAGGAAAAGCTGGGGTAACACATGAGCTCCTTTGCCCCCTCTTCAGTGCTCACCCAGGGAGCTCCCTGCCTCTCGGAGGAGCAGAGGAGCATAGGTAATGCTGGGATGTCTGAGGGCTTAGCGCCCTCTGCTTTCTGGGCCCTTGGAGGTCAGGGAGGCCACTGCCAAGAAGCAGTTCTAGCCTGCTGCTGTGGGAGCTGCCAGAGGTGGGGAGAGAGCCAGGGAACAAAGGGCAGGAGTCGGCCTGCCTCCGGGAGGGCTGGAATGTGCACAGCCCTGTGGTCTGGTTTACCTTGAGCCCAGGTGATCTGTCACCTGAGCTGCCCCTTTCCCTGAGAGGCCTCCCCGCCCACTCTGCAGCCTTGGAGCAGGAAGGACAGCAGAAGGCTGCTCAGGGATGCTGGAGAGCACCCAGCTGTGGCTCTCCTTCCTCTTTCAGAGCAGTCTGAGCTCCTTTGGGAGACTTCTGCTTGCCGGGTGGCTGCAGCGTATTGGGAGACAGAACAGAATCCCTGGCTCCAGGCTGGCTCTGGCCCTGGCTCTGACCTCTGGGAATGGGGGTGAAAACAGTGCCAACAGGATTCACGTATACCTCGAATTGGTATCATCACTGGTTCTGAGATCCTTGCCAAGCCCTGCCTGGCTCTGTTCTCTCTGGTGCTCCCAGGTGGGCCTTGCTGCCTGCACTGGCTTTGTCAGGAAACCTCTGCCTCACCTCTGAGTCGCGGAGCAGCCAAGCTCCCTAGGATGGACATGGGGGCCACATATTGAGTGTAGGGGGTGCAGATACCTAGAACTTGCCTTGGGGGGCTGCATTCTGATCTGGAGTCTCCTCTCCCCTCTGTCTCCCCAGAAACATGAGTGTGAGCCAGACCATGGAGGACAGCTGTGAGCTGGACCTGGTATATGTCACAGAGAGGATCATAGCCGTCTCCTTCCCCAGCACAGCCAATGAGGAGAACTTCCGGATCAACCTCCGCGAGGTGGCCCAGATGCTCAAGTCTAAACATGGCGGTAACTACCTGGTAAGAACAGGACCTCTTGCTGCCCAGTGTTCTTTCTGCTCGCCACCAACTCACTGTCAGTGTCTCTGCCCACCTGCCCCTGGGCCAACGCCTCCTCTTCCTATACCTGCCTTTGGCCTTGGGCATCGCTCAAGGCCTGAGTCTTCACTTTCTTCTAGCCTATCTCTACTATCAGGAGCATGTCTGCAGCTGGAATGCAGCACCTGGAACCAAGCCACGTCCGTGTGTGCTAATGCATGTGTGTGCATGCATGCACTTATGTGTATGTGTGTGTGGATCTGGAGAAGAGATGAACAAAAGTGCCTGTCACTGAGTGCTCACTGTGAGCCAGGCCCTCTTCTCGCTGCTTGCCTTGTATTTAACCTTCATGACAACCCTAGGAAACAGGCTTCACTGGAGCACAGAGAGGTGGGATGTGAGGTCACAGGTCAAGAAGCGGCAGAGCTGGCACACTGCAGGTGTCTCTGGGAAGTCTTAGGGTAGAGCTGTGGCAGCGTATGTTGTAAGGCACCTTGCGTTGCTGGCATGGGGCTTGTACCTGGAGCACCTTGTACTCAGGAGAATCACCTTGCAGATGTGGATAAGGTGGCTGGCAGTGGTCTCCTCTAGTTTCAGGAAGGCTGGCCTGAGCAATAGGACCTGTCCTGCCCCAGAGAAGGGCTCAGATCCACTACAGGGGGTGACATGGACCCTCAGACTAGACAGTCTCCTTGAGGGGCTTTCCAGAATGTTTGTACAGAGTCGGGTATAGGAAGCTTCATTTGGTCCCCAGGCCTGCTTTAACAGACTCCATAAACTGGGTGACTTAAAATAATTTATTAATAAATGAGTAATTTATTTTGCACGATTGTTGAAACTAGAAGTCCAAATCGAGGTGTAGGGAGGCTGTCCTCTCTCTGAATTCTGTAAGGGATGGTCCTGGTCTCTTCCTGTCTTCTGATGATTCCTGGTGGCTCCCAGCCATCCGTGGTGAACCTGGGCTTGAGCTGTGTTGCTCCGTTCTCTGCCTCCTCATCCCCTGACCTTCTTTTCTGTGTCTCATGTGTCCTCTCCTCTTCTTATAAGGACACCAGCCTTTGGATTTAAGGCCCATCAAATCCAGAGTGATCTCATCTCGAGAGCCTTAATTACTTACATCAGCAAAGGCCCATATTTCCAAATAAGGTCACGTTCTGAAGTTCCGGGCAGATGTGGATTATTGCAGGACACTCTTCCTCCCACCATGGAGGCTTGACATCAGTGGTGTTGAGTGTTGTTAGGAGCCTGTCTTCAAACATCAGCGCATCCTGGGTTCAAGTGCTGGCTCTGCTCTTGCTGTCTGAACTTGACCGTTCAGCCTTGCTGAGCCACCCCATCTGTAATATGGGTCTAATAACATTCTTGCTTCTTTCGGTTGTTGAGAGAATTAAGCTTCTGGATGTAAAGTCCTTATCATGGCTAGAGAGTGGTAGCATTGTTAACACAACAGAGTGTATTCCTTTATGGGCTTCTAGAGAGGACTAGAAGCTATCAAAGATCCTTCCCTAGTTTAGGAGTCCAGGTCTTTGTGCAATGCCCACTGCCTGCCCCCTGTCTCCTACCCCACCTCCATTCTGACTGTGGGGTGTTGTTCTCCTTGGGAAAAAGCATAGTGGTCTTTGAGTTGCCATGTCAGTGAGGAGTCAGATATTCGGGGTCTCCCGTGGAATGTGGTTAGGTGTTGCAGGGCATCTGCTGGGAGAGGGATGTGCAGGGTCTGAGAGGGCCCCCCAGGGTGGTTTGTACCCTCTGATGGAGGGTGTCTGACCACTGAGCAGCTTCATCTTCATGGGATGAAGTTCTGAGGTCAACATGTAAAGCAGAAACCAGAGGTGATAAGCACTTGCCTGTGAATGCCCTGAGCTGTGAGGGGCCCCCTGCCTGGTGGCATGTGGGATCCAAAGTTTCTTTCCCTTCTTATCTGTGGTCCCCAGAGTCCTGGGGGTGGCCAAGTGTCTGCATGCTTCTCTCTCTCTTTATCTTAAGAACCTGAATTCCTGTTGGCCAGTGTCTGATGGATGCTTATGCATTCGAGTATGGGGAGAACTTCCAGCATTTGAGAAAGACAGCGAGGGAGAGCATGAGGAAGGTGGGGAAGGAGGGAGGTGGGGGCCAGGGAAGACGTTTGCTCACGATTTCTTCCTCTTCCTTGCAGCTTTTCAACCTCTCTGAGCGAAGACCCGACATCACGAAGCTCCATGCCAAGGTGAGCCCCTGGCCCTTTGGGGTGGGGGCTTCTCCACCGCCAGTCTCCCAAGGGTGCCCCCCTTGGGAGAGACAGGTTCCCACATGAGAATCTTGGGAGAAAGTGCTGTGACAGTTAGAAAAACTGATTAAAAGTTATGCTGCATCTTTTACTTGAAAAATGGACAATACTGCAGTAGTTCCCCGTTTTCCTTGGGGGTACATTCAAGACCCTCAGTGGATACCTGAAATCATGAGAGTTCCAAACCTTATTTTTTCTATATATAAGCTGCTGACGTCAATAACTAATAATAAAATAGGCAACTTATAGCAAAATGTATCAATTATAACAATATACTGTAATAAAAGTTATGTCAATGTGGCCTCTCACCTTCACTTTCAAAATATCTTATGCACGTAATGGTTTCAGACCTCCGTGGAGGGCCAGTCGCTGAAACCTATAAAATCGAAACCCTGGAGAAGGGGGGCTCTGTGTTTATTACCGTTTGTGATACAGATTCCAGAAAGCAAAGCTTGATGCAGGGTCTGCCCCTGGGGTGCACACAGGCCCTCTGGGGTGAGGCTGGGGCTGACATTTTTGTAGTGCTAGTGGAAAGGATTCTGCTGGGAAGTGCTGGTTTGGCCATGTGGTCATTCCTGCCGCCCCTTTGACCTCTTGCGGGCGGCTGTGCAGGGTCTGCCTAGCGTCCACGCCTCCTGCACACTGGCCCCTGCTGCTCTGTGGCCCTGGGCACAGGCGACTTAGCCGTTTGTGCCTCTGAAAGTGGATGGGCTGGGTTATATGTGCTCTCTGGCCCCTTCCAAGATAATATCTTATACTTTAATGTTCTGTGAGTTTAGAAAAGTTTTGAGGAATCTGAAGATGCTGTTCAGTCTGCTCGGTTTCCCTCAGACTCCTCTTGGTCAGCTTGAAAAATTGACGGCATGGACAAGAGCCGCAGGCGGCGGGGCGCCTCTCTTTCTTCCTTCCCTCAACCTGAGCCAGGCCTCAGCTTGTCTATGGGGGGGAAGCCAGGGGCCTTCTGGGGAGGCAGCACTTTGAGTCATGGGGAAGGGACTTTGGGGTGTTGACACCAAGCCCGTGTCTTGCACACACATGAGGACGCTGAGGCTGGGAGAGGAGCCTGATTTACCTGAGGCCCCACAGTGACAGCGTCAGAGCTGAGACGGGCCCTGGTGTCCTGCCCTGGGCCATATCCTCTGCCATCACACCTCCCTTCCAGTTGGGCTGAGAGATGGCAGGAACTGAGGCCGGCTGCTGATGGCGCAGCCCGGGTGCTGGCACGTGGGTCGTGTGCCGCCTTGTTGCCTGCTTGGCTCTTTGGGGATTCCCCCACTTTTCACACATGACTTGACCACAGGTACTGGAATTTGGCTGGCCTGACCTCCACACCCCAGCCCTGGAGAAGATCTGCAGTGTCTGCAAGGCCATGGACACTTGGCTCAATGCAGACCCCCACAATGTTGTCGTTCTGCACAATAAGGTCAGAGCGGGGGCTGCAGTGTGTGTGTGTGTGTGTGTGTGTGTGTGTGTGTGTGTGTGTACACGTGCATGATCATACCCTTGGAGGAGGCGTCATATCTGCCTCTGTCATTGCATTGTGTGAATGTGCAGGTCTGTCTGTGTTTATTCTCCTTTCTAGGGGTTAATAATTCTGTTCTGGGGGCAACCCTAAGAAATGAGGGATACCAGCTTGTGGGTTCCTCAAGTGTGGTAGGTGATCAGCTGTGTTTCTCCCATCCCCCTGCATACTCCTTCCTTCTGTGCTCCCATAAAACTACATCCTCTCTTCAGTCCCTCCCTTCTTTTCTCCAAGGCTTCTGGCTGGGCTCTGGGCCATAGACCCACCTTAGAAATAAAGGCTTTGTGTCTTGGGACTCTTACAGGGAAACCGAGGCAGGATAGGTGTTGTCATCGCGGCCTACATGCACTACAGCAACATTTCTGCAAGGTAAGAGGACCCCTGAATGTCCCATGCTCTGAGTAGTGACAGCTGAACACCCCTCCCCATCACCACCACCCATGGGCTCTCCCTTCCTTGGAGTGGGAGCAAAGGGACAGAGGTTCTGAGGACAAGATGGAGCCCACAGAAAGAAGGTGCCTGTCTGCAGCTCAGCGGCAGGAGCCTGTGGATAGAGGGCAGAAGAGAAGAGAGTCCGTCCCTCTTATCAGTAGTGGGGGGGCACCCTTGGGAGACTGGCTCATTTGGGACACCCCATCCAGCCAGCTGCTTGGGGTCACTTCTTGCCAAACTGCTATTTACCTGGATAAACAGGGCGAAATTCAGAAAGAAATGTTGGGTTCGATCTGGTCCAGCAGGATCGTCTAGAAGTTATCCTTGTTGGTCTGCAGCCTGTGGCCAGCAGGGCTGGTGCTCTGCCCACTTAGGTGTTTTGGAGCGAGGATAGGACACAGCCAGCGGAGGAAGCCCATTCTGATTCATTTTGCAGAGAGACAGAGGAGTCCTTCATTCCCTGCTCATTGCACAGTGTTTACTGAGCAGCCGCAGCAGCAGGCTCTGTTCTGGGTGCTGGGGAGCGGCAGTGGGCACAGCCAGGCCACTGTCCTCGTGGGGGTTAATAAGCAAACTCACTGGGAATAGCAGGTGATAAGTGCTGCGTGAGACCAGAGCCAGTGGTGGGCGGGGGGTGGGGTGGGGGGGGTGGGGGTGGGGGTGGGGCAGGGGATTGGGTCAGAGGAGACCTCTCAAGGAGCTGATGGTGAGCAGAGACCAGAATTACATGGGCTGTGCAGCAGGGAGGCTGTTTGAAGAACTGAGCCATATAAAGTGAGGTGGGGGGATCTCCAGGTAAAGAGAGGACGAAGGACAAGGGAATGTGAGGGGCTGGTGTGTTTGGAGCCCAGAGGGGAAATGAGGAGTAGGAAATGATTCCGGGGAGGGCAGATCCTGGGGCCCTGTGGATCTTGAGTGCTTTGGGGCTGTTATGGGCGTGGTGGGGCATAGCTGGAAGCCCAGGATGAGCTCTGCATAGCCTCTTTATTGTAACACGCCGTCTCTGGGCCCTCTGAGGAGGGTAGGGCGTTCTGTGGAGGGCTTGCCTGTAGGACAGTAGTTTTATGTCTAAGACACCAACCCAGCCTGGTCTTTATTTGCTCCGTGGTGAGCGCTTCCTTGTCTTTGCCGTGTGCCCACCTGTGTCAAGCTCTTTCTAAGTGACTTGGTCACCCTGATGACCTTCAAGGAAGGTGTGATTATTACAAGTGGTTTGGAAACTTTACCTAGCTTGCCAAGACGTGGGAATAGTGATAGGCTGGAGATGGACCTCAGGCTGTCTGGCTCCAAGACCCCCATGCAGAGTTGTGGCCACAGGTGGAGGGACACCAGGATTCTGTCTCTGCACAGGGTCTCTGCAGCGAGTCTTGGGGAGCAGGGGCGAGGGGACTAGGGACTCTTGGATGTGGGGGTTGGCTTCTCTGACCATTTGTTTTTTTCCCTGCAGTGCTGACCAGGCTCTGGACAGGTTTGCAATGAAGCGGTTCTATGAAGATAAGATTGTGCCCATTGGCCAGCCGTCCCAGAGAAGGTGGGTCTCTGTGCTTGTGGCCTGTGTGCGTGCATGCATGCACGTGTGCTGGCACTTGCTGTACGTGGGGACTAGCCTCGTGTGCCCATGTGAGATGGAACAGCCCTGCCTAGGTAGGGGTGTACCAAGCATGCATGTTCAGGTGCTAGCTGGAGTTATATGAGCTTGGGGACACTGGAGACAGCTGTGTGTACCCTCAGATGGGCATGGCAGTTGGCTTCTGAGGTTTGTGCTGGGGAGACCATCAGTGAGGGAGGCTTCTATCTGGGTGCCAGAGGGTGGTTTGTCTGGGAAGGCAGAGCAGTTCTTGGTCAGGTAGAAGCATTGCTTCAGCTATCACATGAGTCTATAGGAGGCTGAAGTCACGGCTGCCTTCCCCTGCGAGGTCAAAGGTGCTCACTAGGCCGGTCACCTTCTGCTGGGAGAGCTTTAAAAATTGGACTGATGTCTTCTAACCACATGGTTTCATTAGCAGCCACCATAGCCCAGGCAGGAAGCAGGGCAGAAATGCATTCATTCATTCATTCATTCAGCAAATTTTAGGCACTCTGCTTCATTCCAAGCACTGGAGACACCTAGTTGAACAGGATGAAATCCTTCACTTTTGTGAGCTAATACTCTATTGGGAAAGATGGCCATCAGCAAGTACATGTGCAGATGAGACATTCAGATAGCCATCAGAGCTGAGAGAGGAGAGGAGAGAGAGCTGGGGCACCAGAGATGGTGGGAGGAGACAGACTGTTTTAATGAGGGCTGCCTCGGGGACTACCTCTCAGAGGAGGTGGATTCAGGCCCAAGCGTGATCAATGACGAGCTCCCCTATGAGCATGGAGGGTGTCCCCATTTATAGATGAGGCGTCTGAGCCTGGGGAGGGGACTCGGCATGGCCAGAGTCCTCAGGGAGGAGTGACAGAGCTGGGATGCACATGGAAGTTTTGTGGCTTGGCCAGGGCTCTGCCTGGGTGGTCATGTCCTGAGGGCTGCCCTGGATTCTGCTTTGTGGGCATATGCTGTTTAGTGACCTCTGAACCACAGGAGGCCACAGGTAGTGTCAGGGCCGGGTGGGTTTGGGGGAGGCTGTAGGTGAGTGGGAGCCAGCAGCAGGGAAGTCCAGCCCCAGGGTGGTGACCTAGAGCGGGTCTCAGCCCAGCCCCGTGTGGCTGGAGCTGCAAGTGACCTGTCTGGTATGTCACACCTGTCTACACCTTGGGGGCCATGGTGCTGAATCTCTCAGGCACAATCTCATGGAGCGTACCCTCTGGTGAATACCCAAGCCAAGGGGGAAAACCAAACAACATGAGGGGCTAGAGAGCAAAAGAATGAAAGAGAGGGGCTGATGCAAATGGACCTACCTTTCTGAGCAGGTGTGGTCTGAGCAGGGAGAAAGAAACATGAAGGTTGGGGGCGAGGGAGCCAGGCAGAGGGAGCAGCAAGTATAGAGACCTGAAGACCAAAGTGTCTCTGGGTTTTTCTGCCCCTCAGAACACTGACTGGGACACAGGGTCCTCTAGGTGCAGGTCCTGGATTTTTCTAGCCTCCCCGTGCTGGGGGCCCCCTGCTAGCACCCCATCACCCCATCTTGCTTGCCTTTCTGGAATTTTGCTGGAACTGCTGGTGGCTGCTTCCACCATTGTAGTGGGAGCCCAAGTAGACATGAGCGAGTCCTGGGGCACACAACACCTGGTGGTCAGTCTCTGGGGTCAGCAATCAGAAATGGGGTGCATTTATGTGCAGAAAATTCTGGCGAGGCCACCAGACACAGCAGCTGTGAGTCAGTGAGAGTCTTCTCACTGAAGAAAGAACTCAAGTTTTCCCTCCTCCATCCCTGGCTTGTGGATAAAGCCCATGTATAGAGGGGCATGATCATGTCTGATGGCACCATGTGGCTTGGAGACAGTGGGCAGAGCAGTCGCTACTCAAAGTTCAAAGCCTTGGGAATGGGGAACAGCATTATTCAGAGATTCCGCAGTGCCCAGCCCTTGGAATGTGTGTGCACTTGACCTGTGCCTGCCTTGCAGCTCATATCTGCCATCACATCTGCTTATGGGAGGGTCATTCTGTTTGTGGCCAAATGTGAAAGTGCAACTGTGGCATTTACTCAGCCTTTGCTGCCACTTTCCCGCCTCTTTTCAGTGTTGCTTAATGGGAATGGAGCCTTTGGAGCAGAGGAGGGCAGGGAGAGAGAATGGGAGGCTCCTTGCTTACAGCTCCCCCATTCACTGTCACCCCGCCCGTGGACTCATTGTCCCCAGCACACAGACACATCCTGTTGGCACGATCAAGAAACCCGATAGGAACCCGCCATTCCGGGTTTCCGGTTTGAGTAATGGGGCTGGGGGCTGGGCAGGGGCCTGAATAGGAGCTGGTGCTGCCCATCAGATTATCTCGCTTGGGTTGTCCGAGGTGGACCCACCCCGGCTCAGGGACAGTGGCCCCTAGGCCTGGAGGTGGGCCAAGACACAGGAGGGGAACATTGTCATGGTCATGGTCCCTCCTATCCCCAAGAGCCACATTGGCTCCTGCTGAGGCTTGGTGTGTCCTGATTGGCCCAGCTGGCCCAGATTGATGTCTTCGGGCAATCGGAGAAGGGGAAACGCCAGCCAATGTGCTGAGAGGCGACGGTCCTCTTATTCTAGCAGATGATCTGGAAGTCAGACTTCTTTCCTTTTCTGCCCATCAACTCTCAGCTTGTGTATTTTTGTTGTGTGTCTCTGCCCCTTTTTCTGGACCTAATTTCCTCTCCTAGAAGGAGTGGAGCTGGGTTAATCCTTCATTTTTCCAACAAGATCTTTCCTAAAAGAACCAGGGGCTGTTGCCCCTAGAGAAAGAAACATGTAGCGGAAGTTAGGTATCTTCCAATGTCTAGTGAATTGATACAGAGAGGCTTTTATGCCCTTCAGTGTGATGCCCAAAAATCCAAGGATTAAGCTCTGTTTGCTGGACAGTGTCTGGTGGGCCTGTGGGTAGAAGTCTAAGCTTGATTTGGGCTTGGTGTAAGAGCTGGTTCGTGGTTGAACAGCCTGCCTCCTGCAGTTGCGAGCCACTAGGACCTTCATGTGTGGGAGGAATTTCGGTCCAGCTGGAGATTCCTGGGCTGGGGGTGAAGCAGGACAGATGGGTTCATGTTGGCCACCAGGGGGCGCTGGTAACTGCTAAGTGGGAGGTTTGACTGGCTCGGTCCTGGCACACTCAGCAGTACCTGCTTGACTGCTCACCACCCGCACTGTGGAGCAGGACTGTGCTGGGGTGCAGACCCCAACCACTGAGACATCTGAGTGGGGGGGACAAACAGGGTCTGGGCAGCGCCACCTAGGACGTTGCTTTGGGGGTAAAGAGACCCAGTACCCACCTCCGTCCCTGAAGCCACCCCTCTCCCTCCTCCAGGTATGTACATTACTTCAGCGGCCTGCTCTCCGGTTCCATCAAAATGAACAACAAGCCCCTGTTCCTGCACCATGTGATCATGCACGGCATCCCCAACTTCGAGTCTAAAGGAGGTACCTGCCCCAGCTTCTCCCCGGCCCCACCCCTCTCTGTTTCTCATCTCCTTTCTTTCTCTGCTTCTCTTTTCTGCATTATTTCTTACTGAGGTGTAGGTTCATGGCTCTTCCCATGAATGTTGCCACACCCACACCTACCTCCAAAGCACCCTCCATCCTAGTCTTCAGGGACCCTGCGTCTCCTCTTAAGATGCAGCCTTGGGGGTAGAAATGTGGACTCTGTGTGTAAATCCAGAGCCAGAGGCTTGGAGTCTCAGCTGCCACCCTTCCTATTTCTTAGTGTTCTGTCTATTCATTTGCAAAGTGACTTTGAACCTGGCATTGCTTGCTAGCAGATGATGTCAGATGTGGCAATGTCTTTATAAGCTTAAAAATGCCTTTCAGATGAAAAGTTAGCAATGCGTCCTCTTTCTCTATTTTCAACTTCCTCTTTTCTTTTTGTTCCCTCTTTTCCACCTTCCCCTTCCCTCTTCTCCCCCTGCCCCCAGTCCTTCCTTCCATTCTCCTTCCCCTTTCCTCCTCTCCCCCCACCTCCTCCCACTGCTCTGCCATCTCAGCTGACAGCAGCCCTCTCTTACAGGGTGTCGGCCATTTCTCCGGATCTACCAGGCCATGCAACCTGTTTATACATCTGGCATCTAGTAGGTATTCTGTGGCAATAAGAGACCAGGGATGCCCGAGGCCCAAGGCCTGGGCCAGGGGCAGAGAGATGGGTTGCTGCCTAGCACTGCTTCCAGGGTGGGGCTGTGGGGTTGGCCAGTGAGCTTTCCTGGTAGCAGTGGCAGAGAGGTAGCAGGAGAAAGTTCCCTGCCTGCCAGCTCAGCGGCCCTCTCTTCTTCTGCCCACCTGTCTCTCCTAGCAATGTCCAAGGAGATAGCCAGACCAGCATCTGCATCACCATCGAGCCTGGGCTGCTCCTGAAGGGTGACATCTTGGTGAGTGTGTTACAGGGCAGGGAGAGGGGCACCCCAGAGCCCCCAAACCTGCCTTCCCTAAATAGGCTCTACCATCTGTTGCGTCAAGACAAAACATATAAGACCTTTAATGGAAAGGAAACTTTAATACAATTATTGAATAATACAGAAAAAACAGAGAATATAGTTTCTAAATCAAGCACCCAGAGTTACCCATCCCCTCCTGGGTGAAAGTCCACCCAAACGGGATTGGCCCAGAGCAAGGCCCCAAAGCCTGCCACCAGTCTAAAGCATCTTCCAGTGGGGACCCACAGAAAAAGGTCAGAAACAACCCAACAAGTCTGGAAGGAAAAGAGAAAAATCAAAACCAAGATAAAAGCTGCCTTTGTCACCTCCCCACGGGTCTCTCACCCAGTCCAGGACCAACAGGCAGGTGTAGTTTCTTCACGTGTCTCTCTGCTTCATGTGCCTCCTGCAGGTCTCCTCCTGGCTCTCCACCCTGCTTCCTTCCTTCCTCAGCCTCCAGCTTCTTCTCTTCCCTCCTCAGCTCCACCCTCCTTTGGGTGGGGCAGGGAACCTAGAACTTCCCCTTTTCCTGGGCACCACCCTGTTACAAGTGCTACCCTCTGTCTCAAGACCCCCTTCTCTGTTTCTTTTTTCCTCCCCTTCTCCCTTCCTTCCCCCTCTGCCTCTCCGGACCAGGCAGTAACTTCTGATGGGCTTGAGGCCCTCAGGGCCCCTGCAGGCCTTCTAGACTCTGACGGTCCTGGTCCGTGTCCCTGCCTTGGTGTTGGACATCCCCTCCCCTGGACTTGGGTCTTGTTCTGGAACATCTCCAGGGAAGTATCTTTCAGTCTGAGCTGATACCTCCTGGCTTCCTGTTGGTGGCAAGGACTCCTTCAATTCTAACTTCAGTCCTTCCTCCTGTCAATTATATTCACTGCTACTTTTTCCATTCTGACCCACACGCAGTCCTCTTTTTGGGGAGGATAGTTTTGTTCCCCAGGACAAGCCTGGCCTCCAGTTCTCTGCTATTGTCGAAGTTGCCCCAGAAAGCTCTAAGATCCTGTTTGGTGTTGTTGGTCTCTCCCTCACTCAGTTTGGGGTGAGCCTTGGACACCCAGTCAGTGGCGATACTAAGGTGGCTCCTTGGGACCTGATTCCCCACCCCCATGCCCCTGATGGGCTCGCTCTCTTCCCCACCAGCTGAAGTGCTACCACAAGAAGTTCCGCAGCCCCGCTCGAGATGTCATCTTCCGTGTGCAGTTCCACACCTGCACCATCCATGATCTGGGGGTCGTCTTTGGGAAGGAGGACCTCGATGATGCCTTCAAAGGTGGGTTCACTGGGTGCACCTGGCAAGGAATAATATTCCACAGAGTAGAGGAGCAATAATGAAGGGGCTATGGCAGCAGTAAAGGGGAAACCTCTCTCCTAGTGATGTGGGGGTGGTGGTCAGGTATCTCTCTTTGCTGCTTTTCTTTATCTATTTGAGGCTTTATTTATATTACCTTTAGATCCATGGCATATCTGCAACCATCCATTCATCTGTCCATCATTCATCTACCTATTCACCTACCACTCATCCATTCATCCATCCATCTGTCCATCCATCCGCCCACCCATTTGTCCAGCCATCTATCCATCCATTCATCCATTTACCCATCCATGTACTCATTCATCCAGCCATTCACCTGCCCATCCAAATTCCCCCATTTATGCATCAGTCCATTCCTCTACTCTCTCATCCATCCATCCATCCATCCCATCCATCCATCCATCCACCCATCCATCCTTCCAGCATCACTTGTATGTCTACATCTTCAGGGGTGTGCTAGACCCTGGAAATACAAAGAAAAGGAAGTCAGGCCCTATCCTCGGGGAGCTCACAGTCTTGTCAAAGAAAGTATCACAAACTGATACTATAAGGTGATGCCAACACGATGGAGACAGGCACAGACATAACGGGTGCCCCAGGGAGCAGACACCATAACTGCTGTAGCTTCTCTTCCGACAAGCAGTGGATGGTGAACTGTGTCCAGAATGGACTCAGGCAGAGAGTGGGGCTGAAGTTTGGAGGAGGGACAGGATCCTTCAGTGTAGTGTGGCTTATGCCCGAGAGGGATGTTTCTGTGGTAAGCTTTTTCCCCCAGGAGAGCGAAAGCAGAAGAAGTTGTTTTGATTACAGAAAAGAATGCTAACGTTATCAGTCTTAACAGAGGCAAATAAAGGAGTAGCTGACAAAATAAAGGTGGGGTTCGGAAGAGGGCAAAGGAGGGGCACAAATTTCATTCTCTTACATGGAGGGAATCAAGAGAGACCTTTGAACATGGACACATCAAAAAATAGTCTTAACTATAGTACTTAACGTTTCACAGATAATCAGTAATAATAATAACAGGTTTTAGAAGAAGGGAAATGTGAGTATCATAAGTAAACCTGGTTATTAATTTTCATAGTGGTGAATTAATAGAGTTTTTAAAATTGGTATATCTAAAAATGGTGGCATTAAAAACTGGCTGCTATTTAGAGTCTTAGAGGTAACTATAAGTAGAACAAGAAATAGAAACAGTTGCCTCAGACAATAGGATGGTGGCTAAGGTGACGAGGAACCTTATTTCATGCTACATGTTTTGTATTATATGTATTATACTGTCAACCATTCATAGTTGTAGCACTTTAATTTTTTCTAGAAGAAAACTTCTTCTAGAAGTTGGAGTCCATTTTGGGAACTGATTGCCTATCTTTGTTTTTCCTTCTCCTTTTCTAGATGATCGATTTCCAGAATACGGCAAAGTGGAATTTGTGTTTTCTTATGGACCAGAGAAAATTCAAGGTATAAGCAAGTTAAAGTGCATTTATCCACTCCCTTTCCATTTTGACATGTCCCCACCCCCTTCACCACCCACCACTCGTCTGTTCTGTGACTGCCAACTCACCTGTGATTGGGGACCCAGTGGTAAAGGGTCTGTGTAGCATAGTGGACCCCAGCTAGACAGGAAGCAGCAAGTTAATCTCTGGATAGTAAAAATGAAAAAGCAGACAGAAAGGCGCTGGGTTGGATAAACTGTTTTGGTCCCATTAGGTCATTATCCTGTTATATTCCGAGATTGGGGGCCATGGTGGATGGAGGGAGTGGCCAGGGACACTCCAAGGTGCTGATGGATGATAAGTATTTATGAGAACTGAGGTGATTCAATCTGGAGACCAGAAAGCCAATTTTAATAATAGCCTTTAGACTGGTTATATGTGGAGACCAGTTGTGCACCATCTTATTTTTTGAGAACAGGATGGGAGAACATGAAGTCAGGTCACAGCCAGAAAGACTCTGGATGGGCTAAATAAAGGACAGCCAGGCGGGAAGGTAACTCCCCTAGAAGACTTGACTTGTAGCTTCTGCTCTCTTCATCTGGGGTCTCTCTGGCTGCAGAGGAGAGACTCTGCCTCACCCCTCAGGTTTCTTCCTAGAGTGAAGAGCATTTAAGTTGTGTGTGGGGGGGGGGAGCAGGGGAATGGCTGGGATGACCTTCCGTCCTCTCAGTGTCAAGGCTGTGATTTTCCTGCCTTCCCTGACCCCATGTAGCTGCCCACAAGCCTCTCCCACACTCCCCCAAACTTCAGGACCGAATTCCGTGGTCTCTTGGCACTGCTGCTGGGACCTGTGGGACACATCCATTTAGAGGGCCCCCCAGCTTTCTCCCATGCAGGCGGGGGTCTTCATTCCTAGTGCCTTGTCCTGATTTAGCCCTCTGACCTGGTATGAACCTTTCCAAGAATGTAAGAAACCAGACTCCTGGGTTCTCCATCCAGCAGAAGCCACTGGTCCCACCTCTCCATGTGCAAGAAAATGAGAAGTCCCTTAGGGAGCATCCCTGGGAAGCTCGCTGGCCTTCCCTGTTTTTCCAGCTGCTGATCTCTTTTTCCCTTCTCTTTGCTGTCCTCTTGCCCTCCCTGCTGCCTAGGCATGGAGCATCTGGAGAATGGGCCGAGCGTGTCCGTGGACTACAACACCTCTGACCCTCTCATCCGCTGGGATTCCTACGACAACTTCAGTGGGCATCGAGATGATGGCGTGGACGGTAGGTGGGACCCTTGGCCCAGACCCACTAGACCACACGGCCGTGCCCACTGGGCCGTGACTCTCTCCCAGGCTGCGATGCTGTACCCAGTTCAGCGAGGGAGAATGGAGGTCCAGAGCCCTGCTGGCTGATCACAGTCAGTGCGGGAGATAAGGCAACATATAAATGTGTTAAATAATGAAGACAGAACTAAAGAATGCAGCAAAGCAGCCATGTTGGTGTGCTGTTGGTGCCAGGCCAGTCTCACGCACAGCGAGTACTCTGAGATGGGCAGGGAGCATTCTTGAGAGCTGGAGCGGCCTGGAGGGCTCCGGGGAGAAGGTGGCCTAGATTGGAGCTTGAGATTCTCTCTGTGCTGCAAACACCACGTTTGTTAGATTTCTTTTAAACCCACTGGTGAATTTCTGCAGGCTTGTGCCTGAGATCCCCAGGGTCAGAGCACTAAGAATGTAGACACAGCCGCCAGGGCCTATGAGCTTTCATCAACAGCCAACAAAAATGTTTGAGAACTGGGAACAAACGGATAGGCTCCAACATTTGAAAAGAAAACTGTGGAATTGAAATTAATACGTGTTTAATTTAGCTTCAAAACCTAACATTATGTCAAACGGTCAGGCTGCAACTTAGCTCAGTTCTTGCGAGTTATATATGGCTTATACTTGTTTCTGTGATTCATTTGAATATGTGTGATAGGAGGTGGGGTGGGGCCTTACAAAAGTGAGTGAGACCAGAGCCCAGGAAGGTTTGAGATGCCCTGTCTGGAGTTTGGCTGTAGGCTTATTTTCTTGATTTCTAGGACCACGGAATATGGGAACTGGAAGGATCCTTAGGATTGGCTCCCCACCCACTTGGCCGCCTCCCCAGTCAGTTTTCACTTGGGGTAATGGAGACCCTCTGGAGAAGGATCTCCTATTTACCACAAGGCCTGGGAAGTGTCCTCTCAAGGACACCAACTCCCAGCCTCTAAGCTTCTCCCAGCTAAAACTGGCCCTGGGGTGGGACCGTGTCAACCTAGGGACCCTAAGTCATGAGGCCAAGCTGGGCTAGCTCTGGAGAGCCAGGCCTGCCTGCCCTCACCTCCTCTTTGCTCTGTACCCTCGCCTCCCTCTCCAAGACTTAGGATTTGTTGACTCATTCTGAAAGTCTTGGAGGCCTTTTCTGACCTTAGTGACCCTGGCATGAGTGATGGATTTTAGAGGGAGTGGGACAAGGAGGGCAGTTAGCCTAGAATTTCGGGCTTGATGGGGGTATGTTGACATGCAACATTGTGAAGTTGATGGCTTGTCCCCCGCCCACCTTAGGTCCCTTTCTTCTCTCAGGGCCCAGACATCCCTCCCCACCCCACTGAGGCTGCCTACCCAAAGCAGGCTCCCTCCCCCTGCTCTGGCCCCAGCGCCTGTTCTGGGTGGCTGAAGAGAAGGCAGAGGCTGGGAAGAGTTCATTCCGAGATACCAGTGCTGCCAGCTTAATTGTTCATCGTTCTGGGGATGTTTGCATTTTTAACAAGAACACTTGGCAATTTGAAGGAATTTTCAATGAATAGTAAAGTGCCAGGCAAACAAAAGTTAAAAGAAAAGAGAAAGGAGGCGTGGCTGCGGGAAGGACAGGGCTGGGGATACAGAGGGCTGTGAAGGAAGGAAGGGGGACAGACAGATGGAGCAGAAGCGGACAGGGAACAGTGAGAGGCGGGGAGGGGAGGAAGGAGGGGGCCAGGGAAGCCCCTGGGCTCTGCTGCCCTACCCCTGCCCTCCCCTCTGCTCTGATGCTCCTGCAGGGAAGGGGATGGAACCGGAGGGACCTTTGGCCAGTTAAAGGTCAACTGGTCCTGCAGGGACAGAGGGGCTCCTGTCTGGAGGACAGCTGAGTGCTGGCCCTAAGCCTGCAGGGTAGGAAGGGAGGTTGTGCAACTGGGATGGTCCCCAGGGGAGACCCTGCCTGGCCCACTGTGTCCTCTCTGATGATGCTGGGCTGCATTCCTCACTGGGGCAGGGAAACAAGCCAAGCTCACCCTGGGGCAGGAACAGTGACCATTGTTCCAATCCTGCTTCTCCTCTTGGGGGCATTTCTGGAAGGTTCTAGATTCTGGGGCCCAGAGCAAAAAGCATTTTCCTTTGATTTACTCTTTGGTCAGATAGGGACGCAGGGGCCTGATGTCTTCCCAGTTGTGGGCAAGGCCCAGTGTGTGTCTCCGTTTCCTCATGTGCTTGCTCGCCTAATTCTTAGGAGAAAACTCAAGCAGAGCCTGGGAGGGATGCTGGCTATTTGTGGGAGTGGTCCTGGGGTTGGGGCTTGGCTCCCGGTCGCTGCGGTGCCCCAGGAGGCTCTGCCTGCCCTTCAAGGAGGTCACTGCCCTCAGCACTATAGGGCAGGAGGTGCGCTTACGTGCTTGAGAGCCTGCACGCGCCCCTCTGCAGCTGAAAGCCCTCCGCAAACTGGTTAGCCTTTCTGTGCTCTCCTCTCCTCATTGACAAACCTGCAGGTGTTGAGCCCCTTTGTCCCTGGATAAATGCAGCAGTTTTCATGAGAGGCAGTTAGTATGAAGTTTAAAAAGTAGCCCCTGGGCCCAGACTACCCAGGTTCCCATCCTTTGATTATCTGCCATCCTCAGGGGGCCTTTTTCTCAGTACTAAAGTGGGGACCCAGTAGCCAAATCATTTTGAGCACCTTTGGGGAGCAGCGAGGAGGCTGCCTGCTGTCTCTGGCATGTCCATGGGGACTGTGCCCAGCAGCTCAGTCCTGAGAACAAGGATGAGGGTCAAGGCCCTTTGGCTTTGGAAGCCAGCTCTCACTTTGCTATGCATGTGACAGTCACTGTCCATCATTGCTCACAGCCACCCTTTGGGGGACCATCACTGTGTCTGGATAGGGAGACTGGCCACAGAGGAGTTAAGTAACCAGCCCACGGTTGCCTGGTTAGAAGGAGTAGATCCAGCTGTGGAAGCCCAGCGCTCACCGCTATCATGGCCTGGCTTGGAGGATATCCCCACGGCCTATTCTGGGCATCTGTGGCAATGCCCAGGTACCTGCTGAACTTAGGCCAGTGTCTGTCCCCCGAGCCCCCACCTGTCACCACTGGACACCAGGTTGCACCTGCACTGCCTCTTGTGATGAGGGAGGGGCCAGGCTCAGTGGTGGAGTACCCAGAGGCCATAGCACTGGCCCCAGCTGGGCACTTAGAGGAATTTACTCCCTCCTCTCCCCTCTCAGGAGGGTGTGGGGCTGCTCTGGCCTCTGGAAATAGATAGAGGCGGGTGTGCCCGAGGTGAAATGGGACCCTTTCTGGGTGTTGCTGTTTCTATTTCAGGCCTTTGGGACAGGGGACAGGAGAGGCCAATCCCTTTGGAGCCCACCCATGTCTCCGAGGGGCAGCAAGGACACTGAGCCATGTGCTCAGGCCAGAGGTCATTTCTAGCCTGGTCCTCCTGAGTGGCCGGGGCCCCACCTGGCTCACCCCCTGCTGCAGTGAAGGGAGCCAGCGCTGGCTCAGGGCCCCCACTCTTTCCCAGGAGACCTTGACTCAGTCTCCCTCTCAGGATCTGCACTGTGCTTTAATCCCTTCCTGAACTCCAGGCTCAGATTCAGGTGTGTGGCATGTGATGCTTAGAAGCACTTCCACCCCTTAGGGCACCACCAAGCAGTCTCGGCTGCAACACAGGGCAGAGGAATCCCCGTGGGCACTTCCGGTCCCTGTAGGCCGACCTTCTGAGCTGGCTGGCCCAGGGCAACAACAGGGCCCCTTTAGTGTCTTCCTCTCCAGTGAGGAAACTGAAGCTGGAGGAGGATCTTGCCACGGGCAGGCGGGCAGTCCCCGCCTTGTGGGACCCACCTTTGCATGCTCTCCTGGACCTCCCGAAGTGCCACCCAACGGTGGAGAGACGCTGCCCTCGCCTGGCTGTGAGATAAGAGGTAGAGTTGGTGTTTGCATCTAGGGGTTTGACTCCAAATTGCTTTCCATCTCCCTTGGAGTGCAGCTTATTCAGGGCCTGCTCCCCCTCATTCAAGTGGCTCTGACAGGGTGATTGTCCAGGTCCTCAGACCCTCAGATGACAGGGAGCTCATGGCCACACAGGCGGTCCCATGTCACTTTGGGAGGTCCAGGAAGTGGCACCAGAACCAGAGGGAAAGTGTGCCTATGCATGCGGGCAGGTGCAGGGACTCTGGGGGGCATTCTCTCTCCCCTGGACTGAGGTGAAGAATCTAATGGAAACTCAGTATTAGGCCTTGGCTGACCATAGGGGGCTGCTTGGGGCCGGGAGCTGAGGCGTGCCAGCTGTCCCAGGGGCCCCTTCCTCTGCGAGCCGCCCCCACTGCTGGCCCTGACAGATCTGGCATCTCAGTCTGCTTGGGCAGCCACAGCAGGATCCACATGCTGTTGACTTAACAGACGTTGCTTGCCATTCTGGAGGCCAGAAGTCAGAGATGAAGTGGTGGGAAGGGTTGGTTTCTCCTGAACCCTTCTCTTCACCATGCATGTGGCCACCTTTGTATGTGGTCTTTCTGTGTTTGTGTCCGAACCTCCTCTGCTGATGAGGAGAGTCAGAAAGTGTGGAGGCCCACCAGGGACCCCTGTCAGCTTAGCCTCTTTAAAGGCCATATTTCTACATACAGTCACATTCAGGTGTCCTGAGGGAAAGGACCTGAGGGTCAGCCCTTTGAAGTGGGAGGGTTAGGACTTCAAACATGAATGTTGAGGGGGACACACTTAAATCCGTGACACCTAGCAAGGTGTGTTTTTTTCTGGGTGTGTTTGGATGCCTGAAACCTTGGTCCTGAGTGGGGAGCATGGGACGGTCGGGGGGTGGGCAGAGGGGAATGTGGTCCTCCCCCAGCCTCCTCCTTGCAGGAAGTCTCTGTCTTCCTCCAGTTTGGTCTGGAGCCTGCCTGCTCAGCGCTCTGGCTGACACCGCGCTTTTCTCAGCCTCCAGAAGCCCCATTAGCTCTTTGGCCTGAGTTCTGAAGCCCCATGCCCAGCTCCCAGTCCCCGTGGGTGGGAGCGGGCT